GAGTTAAAGGGCTAATCCCAGAGCCATTTACCAAAATCATAAATAAATATTTAAATAAGACATGCATGCGACTGCGGTCACCTTTAAAGCACAACGTTTTATTTGAGCAGTGAGGTAAACTCGGGTGGATCCTTGTGTTCACAGAGAAAACCTTCTGTAAGCAGATTAAGGAGTCAGAAGTTCTTAATCCTTAAAGTTTAGAAAAATCCCAGCAGCATAATCTTTGCTGTAAGTGGTTTATGAGCGTATATAAGAGGCTGACACAGCGGCAGCGGCAAAGAGCTCAGGGTCACAATGGGAAAATACTTCCACCTGTACGAGAACATCTCCAAAATCAGTCCCTTTGAGGGGCCCCAGTATTACCTGGCCCCTGTCTGGGTCTTTTACCTGCAGGCCGCCTTTATGGGTTTTGTTTTTTTAGCTGGCACTCCTTTAAACTTCGTTGTTCTCCTGGCGACGATGAAGTACAAGAAGCTCAGAGTCCCACTCAACTTCATTCTTGTCAACATCTCCTTCTGCGGCTTCATCTTCGTCACCTTCTCCGTCAGTCAGGTGTTCGTATCCTCCATGCGAGGTTACTACTTCCTGGGTCACACGCTGTGTGCTCTGGAGTCTGCTGTGGGCTCCGTGGCAGGTAAACCACCCGATCCATCGGCAGGATGTGTACAGGTGTGTGCAGATGCAATGGTGTGTTTCTCCCTCCTCCTCAGGTCTGGTGACCGCCTGGTCTTTGGCGGTGCTTTCCTTTGAGAGGTACCTGGTCATTTGTAAACCGTTCGGAGCCTTTAAGTTTGGCTCAAATCACGCTCTGGCTGCAGTGGCCTTCACCTGGTTCATGGGCGTCGGCTGCGCCTGCCCACCTTTCTTTGGCTGGAGCAGGTACTGTAGGCACCAGGTGATTCTGGCCGTGTGTGTCCTGCACATGTGAGCTGACTGTCTGTGTTGGTAGGTACATCCCTGAAGGTCTGGGCTGCTCCTGTGGACCCGACTGGTACACTCACAATGTGGAGTACAACACGAACAGCTACACACACTTCCTCATGTTGACCTGCTTCATCATTCCTCTCACGATCATCATGTTCTGCTACTCCCAGCTGCTGGGTGCTCTGAGAGCGGTGAGTCAATCAATCAATCAGCCAGCACTAAGTGATTAAATGAGTCTCTGTGCTGGTTGTGTGTTTGGAGCTTGAGAACTTCACTCCATTAAAGCTTAGCCTTGTTGTTTCCTCTGCAGGTTGCAGCCCAGCAGGCTGAGTCAGCCTCCACCCAGAAGGCGGAGAAGGAGGTGTCAAGAATGATCATCGTTATGGTGGGGTCCTTCGTCACCTGCTATGGCCCGTACGCCCTGGCAGCTCTTTACTTTGCCTACTCCACAGAAGAAAACAAAGACTATCGACTTGTCACCATCCCGGCGTTTTTCTCTAAGAGCGCCTGCGTCTACAACCCGCTCATCTACGTCTTCATGAACAAACAGGTGAGCACACTCAGATAACACAGTGCAGAATGCAGGGTTTAGTTTTTCGCAGCTTTTCTCTGACAGTTTGAGTTGTCCCTGCCGCTGAAGTGATGATGAGTTCTTCTGTTCTGTTCTCAGTTTAATGGCTGTATCATGGAGATGGTGTTTGGAAAGACAATGGATGAATCCTCCGAAGTTTCCACAAAGACTGAAGTGTCCACAGCTTCTTAATGCTCACACAAAAGTGACACAAAGGACTTTTAAGAGGGCGTGACTGAGCTGAAGAGGACTTTCACAGGTCAGAGTTTGGAGGAAGAATGTTTCCTGTATACTCATCGTTATGTAAATACAGTTTATACGTACACACGATCAGCTGATATCTATGTTCCTGTAGAACATACGTGTTTAGATAAAAGGCAAAAATAAACATTAAAAACAGTGAAGTGTCTTTCTTTAGACTTTCTGAATAAAACGTTCACGAAACCAAACTCTGAGTTTCACTTTTTTTATTGATAAACAGGTAAAAATGTGACATAAAACTCAGACTTTGTCTGTAAATTTTTTAAGCTTTAAGGCATCTTTAAATCTTTATAAAATCATTTGTTATTTGCTCCAAAGTGGCATCGCTCTGAAGTACGAAGCGTAAAACGTTTACGTGAGATTTTTTTCCGAATGACCAACACAGCTATGACAGTAAGGCGCTCTCACCTGAACTCACATGAGCACTCCTTTTAGTCCACCTGTGTCCCAATGACAAGTGGATTTTAGTGAAAATGGCGGGTCAGTGTTTTACGCTTCTGTACTGCAGAAACTCGTGAGGAGCAAAAACACATACGAAAAATAAAAAAGTCTGGCCTAACAACCTGGCAGTAACTCTTGAACATCAAAACTGTTTTTTCTTCTTTGGCTCTAAAAATAAATTATCTCCATAAAGTTTCCACCAAAATTCAGAAGCAGTTTGTTCCAGCGACGCTTCAATCATGTGACCCTCTAGAACTCGTCGTGTCGCAGTAGCGCCTCTCCAAAGTCTGTCACCTGACTTCCGACAAACACCTCATGCTTATCCAGAATCTCTTTCTTGCTCAGTTTTCCATCCTGAAGACACAAAAATCAGCTGTTACACATGCAAACAGGTAAACAGAAAGCTGCGAAGGGCGCTTTTGGTTCAGCCTCACCTGGTTGGCATCAGACTCATGCAGCAGATGTTGGGCTTCGGCCTCAGCATGGTCATAGTCAGAGGGAAGGATCCAGTCCATCGTCTCCTCTTTGTCCATCTTCCCATCCTTGTTTTTGTCTCTGAACTCCGAGAACTGCTGACGCTCTGTCGCCACCCACTCAGGCTCCTCCTCTCCGTCCTCAGACATGTACATGTCACCTACGACAATTCAATTCAGTTTGTTTATATAGCACAAATCACAACAACATTTTCCTCAAGGCAATACAATAATACAGAGAAACTCCAACAATCATACGACGCCCTATGAGCAAGCACTTTGGTGACAGTGGGAAGAAAAAACACCCTTTTAAAAGGAAGAAACCTGTGGCAGAATCAGGCTCAGGGAGGGGAATTGGACGTGACAGGAAGTGACCAAACTTAGAAGAGGAACTTAAATCTGTTATCTGTTTGGTTACAGTCCCCACACACACACACACACACACAGATTGGCTAATCATAAAAAGGAAAGCTGCAGCGCACAGAATAAATTCAGCCGCAGGTAAATTTTGTGGTATTCAGCAGCGAGCTCGTCACAGTGCTGCCCCCTGCTGCCTGACATCACAAAAAGCATGCATAGGCTCCAAGGTCCATTTTCATCATGAGACCATCACTGCCTAGTCCGTCTGTCAGGAGAAGGTAAAGGCCTGACCTCCTGACCTTCAGATCAGCTGCTTCCTGTTTCCTCTAATGCTCCACCTGATCGATAAAACCTCACCGATATACTCCTTCAGGTCGATAAACCCGTCTCCATTCTTGTCGATGTCTTCGATCGTTTCCTGTGACAAAAAAAGAAAGTTAAATATTTGAAACGAAACAGTGGGTCACATGACCCCACGGCATCAGTCTCACCTGCACCACGACGTCCTTCATGTACTCGTGTTCTTCAGGATGAAGAAAAGCGGAAAACTCCTGTTTGTCTGCGACGAGGTCTCCATTCCTGTCTGCGACCCGGAACCTCCGCTCGTCCCTCGACATCATGTGGGTGTAGTTGTACTCTGATTCCTTTGAAGGGTCATCTGGAGCCAAGCAATGAGAGACCTGATCAGATTGATTACAGCACAAAAACATTTATCAAAGAAGACCTAATAACCTCAGATGGAGTCCTGACCCAGATAACTGCCGTATGTCACGTTCCTGTACTCGTCCCAGCTGATGCGGCCGTCGCCGTTCAAGTCGAAGTCTTTCCACTGATTCTCCACGCTGTCATAGATGTGCTTCCTCTGAGCATTTCTGATCCAGGCCTTCAGCTCCTCCTCAGAGACGAAACCATCGCGGTTAGTGTCCATTTTATCCACGATGATGCTGCAGAGACACAAATTACCAGAGCGCAAAGCCAAAAACAACATCTTAATGAGAGGCAACAAAAATAAAGACTGGACTTGAGAAATATCTAACCTAACTGAACCCAAACTGAGCTCACAGGTCCAGGAAATACACTGGACTTTATTTTAATTGTATTGAGTTTTCTGTGAACACAGCTGAGCTGAGTATGTGAATTGAAAATGTAAAGTTTCTCCTGCGTCTGCAGCAGCTGGAGGTGGAGACAATTCGACCAGTGAGGACGTCTATTTCCTCACGGTCAGCATGACGCAGCTACAGGAAGTGATTGTCTGAATTTCTCATTATGCTCTGTGGACCCTGTCCCTGCACAGCGCTCAGCCACAGTCTGATCAGACTGTACTTAAATGTGGAGAGCCGAGGCCGGCCTGCTTCTCTTCATCACTCAGAAAAACCAGCCGAAGCTTCAGATGACCTGAACTCACCCGAGTCTGCGTTGGCTCTCCTCTGGAGGAAGTTGCTCGAAGGTTTTGGCCTCCTCTTGTCCCAAAAATGCTTCGTGGTCGTAGTCGAAGTTTTTCTGGTCGTCATGCTCAAGGGCGCTCAGAGGCTCCTCATGATGGACCCGACTTTTCCTCTCTGTGGGCTTACTGCTGCTGCTGACCACCACAGCAAGGATGAGGAACACAAGCACTGGACGCATCATCCTGACACACACTGTGACACACATACAAAGACACAGACACACACATACGCACACACGCACACACACATGCACGCACGCCCACCCCCCACACACACAGAAACAAAGTTTACGTTTTAAGCTTTAAATTCCTCTTTGAATATTTTCACTCACAGTCAGCTTCTCTCGCAAACGTCAGTCACATGATAATAAACTCTGGTTTTACAAACATCACAGTTTCTGTTTAACGTAGATATTCATAAAACTACAGATTGCCTCAAACAGCTGTTGGAGCATCAACTCACCTGCTCTCCTCTCACCTGTGCGCGTGCTACTCTTACACCTGGCGACAGCTGCTCTGCTCGTTCCTCACACCGAGCCCCGCTTTCTGCGACCCCGCGGAGCCGCCTCCGGGCCTCCGCAGCCAATCAAAGCCCGCCTCAGACTTTTCCCTCGACCTGATTGGTCCACCTCAGTTATACGTCATGCTCCCTCGAAGATGTCAGAGGGTCGCTGTCCGCGGACTCTTTTCTCATTGGTCCTTCTTCACGAGAGGAAAGAAGGAAGCACGCATGCCACGTCCGCAGACCCGCGCGCTGACATGCTGGGGCGGGGCGGAGAAATCATGAAGTTTAAAAAAGATGAATTATTTCCTGCAGATTCTTTCATCCACGTTTATTTAACTGCAACTTTAACACGTGACCCCCACTGTGGTCATCCCCAATAAAACGTTATCTATAATCTCACGTAACATTTAAAAAAAAGGTAAAAGTACTAATAGTAAAAATGTCTTATGACCTGTTTGTCGCTGACTTTTTAATTTATGTGATTTTTTTTATTTGGCTCATTAAAATCAAACATTTGTTCTTTGACCACAGTCCATTTCTGACATAGCATCCCTTTCCCCCCTTTTTTTTAGGGTAGGGGTAGCTCAGTAGGTAGAGTGGTGGCCCCATGATGGGAAGGCCGGTGATTCAAATCCACTGAACAGCTACCCTGCGGTACCCCTGGGCAAGGTACTGTCTATACACACTGCTCCTCGGGCGTCCAATGGTTGCCCACTGCTTCACTGAGTGAATGGGTTAAATGCAGAGAGGAATTTCCCCAAGGGGATCAATAAAGTATACTTTCTTCTTTTTTTTTTTCCAAGTTTAGTACGAAAATGATGAGCTGTGATCTGATATTGTAAGTTGTTTTAAACTTAAGCAAAGTGCAGCAGTAATAGGTGAGCAGGCCCTCTGTGAGAGACTGTAATCAAAAGGTGGTGCTGTGTTGCGTTTAAGAACGCCCTCCATCGGAGTTCACAGTGAATGGTAAAATCCAATGGCAGACTCAGAGCTTCAGGGTGGAGCTGAAGCATGCAAACATCATCCCACGAATCTCTGGAGAGAAACACGATTCGCTTCTGCACAAAGATTTTCTTAAGTCTGGCACCCACATGGAGTCGTCTCGTTATTTAGTGTTTGCAGTGGGTCTGGGGTCTGCTTGTTCTTGCTTTTCTGTACTGCAGATTCTTCTATAATCAGCAGACTGCAGCCAGGTCTGAGGAGAGGCAAACAACACCAACTGGACTGAAGGTCACCCATCAAAGCCCTCATCAGACCCTAACCCTGACCCACCTCAACTTCTATCACCACCTCGTGGCCGTGCCCAGGCACTGCACTCTGGATGAACCCCATGTCTGAAATTTCTTCCAGCCTGCAGTAAACTGCTCGCTATTGTCAAACCACCTTGGAGCAATACAATCATTATACTTCCCCTTTCAATGTCATTTCACAATGTTACAACAGTGTTGCAGAATTAGCCACTAACCCTTCATCTTATCAGCCCTGCAACAAGGTGACACACAGCTCTGTGCTGATTCTGCGCTGCATCAGAGAGCTGGTTTTCCTGGAATGCCAAACTTTATCCACACATCTTAAAACAATGTCAGTGTCTTGGAATAAAGCACTCCACAGGTGTTGGCAAAAGTAAATTGTGATGGCTTTCTGATTATCCATCACCATGCCCTCAACACTGCCATCTTCCGCACTGCTCAGACGATAAATCAATAGATCCACCCCATGTTTTCAGCTGTGGGATTGTTCCCAAGCTTCACTGTTGAGTAACTTGGAAGGGGAACTAACTCATCTTACCTCACCTTTTACCTCCATATACATCACAATTAGACCTTTGGCATATACCTAAACAAAATCAAAAGCTCAACAATGATTAGAATGAGTCCAAATAATTTAAAGTAAAAAGTCATTTGTGGAAACTTGAGATTCTGAACTTTATGTACATGAAGACTACATCACATTTTTTCTCTTTCA